GTGTCTTCCTCCTGCGGCCCCTATTAGCCGTGTGAAGGCCAGGCCTGGTCTTACAGGCTGTCCCCGGTACCCCCAGGGGTCTGCTTCAGAGCAGGTGCCCAGATGGCTCACATAGATTCACTACATGCCCTGGAAGATTCTTCCCTCCAGCACTTGCTTCAGCCCCCTTGCCTATCTCCTGGCACCCCCACCTCCCGCCTGCCCCAGCTCTGCTTTCCATCACGACTGTCTCAGACTAGCAGCGGACATGACCCACCTTGGCCAAAGCAAGGGGCAGCCTGGGGCTGAGGTCCCTGGAGGCTCCTGTTCCCACAACTGCTAAAGGTGCTGTGGCCTAGCTCCGTAAGGCTCTTGCTCGAGGCTGGTCCACAGACTCACAGGATTGGCATCCCCGGGCTCACCCTGGATGTCTCGAGTCAGAATCTGTGTCTTCACAAGAGCCCCAGGCGACTCCTCGCACACACATCTGAAAAGCCCTGGTCTAGGGGATACACCTCCTCATGTCCACCCTACCATCAGCCCCCCCGCCCCAGCAGCTGGCTTGAGTCGCCACAGCTGGGCTTGCAGCCAGCTTCTCCCTCCCCTCCTCACCAGCTTCTCCCATGTGCCCTGACCTCCCAGGCTGCTGACTCATGCAGGGAGGTCCCCTGGGCCTCAGCCAAAAGCCAGGAGCTTTAATAGTCACCCTTGGCTCATAGGCCTGAAGCCACACAGCTAGCACAGAGAACAGTCTAGATCCACCCCACCCCCCCCACTCCTGCCTCTGATTCATCCTTGCCAGCCTTCAACCAATCTTTACAATGGCATCTTTCGACCACATCACAGGGATTTCAGGTTTTCCCCAACAAACAAATCCAACAGGTAGGGTGTGGGCCTCACCAAACCATTGACCAGCTGTGTGATCCCAGGCAAGCTGCCAGGGCTCTCTGACTTGAAGCTTCTTTATCTAGAAAATAGTGGTGATTATCATATGGACCTCGGGGAACCATTCATCCATTAGTCCATTGTTTCAAACAGCCAGTGGCCTTCGTGTGCCCAGCACCAGAGAGAGCTCCAAACAAGAGACCCAGTCCTGCCCTTCAGAAACTTCTGGAGGGAGAACTGGGGGCAGATGTGGCAGAGATGTGTCCGCCGCACCCACAGGGGCCAGGCATGGAGAGCACCCTGGCGGTGCTCACTGAGTGAGTGAACGGATGGCGTGCAAACACAGCTTCCAACCACACACGTGCCCCGTGCCTTTCCACCCCAAAGCCACGTGGAATGGAAACACGTGGGCTTCACGCTACTGAAGAGTATAAGAAAAACATGAGGAGATGGGAGGAGGGCTGCCGGGCTCTCCAACAGTTAATGGATCTAGAAGAATTCAAGTGATTATAAAATATTTCAGATGTAGAGCACAGTTGCCTGAAATAGGCAATAATTGAGGTGGAATTAGAATTGTTGTTCTGAGAGTTTCACAAATTGTGTGTGTGTGCGTGCTGTCTTAAAGTTGGAATGCATTTTCTCAGGGTTTCAGAGAACCTTCGTGTAAAGAAAATGATAGGGATGGTTTGAGAGCAACCTCGGGGCTCTCATCAGGCCACGAGGTTCCCTCTGAGGGTCTCTTCCCACGGCCCTAGATCTCAGATTTTGAGAGCTAGCTAAGCACCCCATGAACACCCACCTACCGCCATGTTTTCTGCATGAGACACTGAGGCCCATACTCTCCCAGCATGAGTAGGTGATTACAGGTAGCAGAAAGTGGATATTCAAACCCAAGTCCCCTGCCTCCCAGCCGAATGCCCTTCACCATACATCACGCAGGCTTCCATGATCTCACAACAATGTGCAGTCAACGCTGGCGATCAGCACTCACCCAACCGGGCTGAATGTCAAGTGGATCCCGCCAACCAAAGGGAACCAGATGTTGTGTCATCCCATCTGTAGGACGCCCCAGAAAAGGCAAACAAGGAATGTGTACAGAGTGATAGTCAGCAGATGGTGCGGGAGGGGCTGATGACAGTGGGACACAGGGAACTTCTGGGGTGCTGGAGTGGCCTGTATGTTGATTAGGGTGGTGGTTACGTCAAACTGCGTTCGCCAAAACTCAGAACCACACGGCAACAAGAGCAAATTGCACTATATGTAAACTGTACCTCAATTTTTAAAAAAGCAACCTAAAATAATCCATGGTGATGATAATAATAATCACCTTTAATGCCAAAACCCAGTCTGTGTTCAGGGCCACAATATGGAGGCCTTCAAGATGCCCTTGGTCAGAGCAGGGAGATGCCTTGTTCCTAAGAGTCAGCTTCGGTCAAAGGAGCACACACTCCTCCTGGGAGGTGCTTCAAGTGTACATCCTCAAATCAGCCTGTTCCAACCCAGAGCAGACTACCTGACAGGCAATGACAGGCAATGGCCTGACTGCCACCCTGGCCTGTGGCGGGGACGGCCCCTTCCTGCTCAGCCCCAAACCACCGTGTGTCACTGATCCTGTCATTCTGCTTGCACATCTTCCCTGCCCCAGCCCCTACCTGCCATACGTGGGTGATACCTGCCCTCTGGTCTTGGGGGCCCCAGCCCAGTGGCCCTCCCAGAGCTTCTAGGATCCTGCCACCTCCTCACTCACCATCATCAAGGATGTGGCTGGGACTCTCTGAACCAGTTCACAGACCTCCGCAGACTGGTCCCAACACACAATTAATTCCTGACTTCCCTGCCCCACCCTGCACCCACGGGACATCTGCCCACCTGCCCTCTGCCCCCAGATCAAAGATATACCCTTCGAAGGCACAAAGGCAAGTGAAACAGGAGAGAAGGGGATGTTGGTAGGTAGGTAGTCACTGGTTCTTAAAATCAAGACTCTGTCTGCTGTCAGTGACAGGGAATTCACTGCCTCCCAGAGCAGTTGCTCTGCCTTTGGCCAGCTCTGAACCCCAAAGCTGAAATCTATCCTTGCCTATGGTCTTAATCCACCCCCTCCATGCCCCAGGCCCCAGAGAGCAGATTTATGATGACCTTGACCTTGGCCCTCCTGGGTCTTCCCTCCCCGTTCCCAACCAGAGTGCAGGGCAGAGGGTCCCCTCTCCATCTGGCCGGGATAGAAACCTCTCATTCTCTCTCTGGTTCTCATCCCCTTGCTGACTGGAGTTCAATTTGGTATGAATGGAAACGGCCCCTCCTGCCTGCAAGCTGTGCATTTCTTGCCACGTTTATAATAAACTTTGCCTTGCCAGGTAGTCCTGTGAGGGATTCCCCCCAGATGTGACCTCTTGGCCTCTATGTGGTCTTCCCTGGCCTCCTGAAATCACAGCTTTACTCTCTGAAGCAAAGCATTACCCAGGAGGACAGGGCCTCTCCAGTAGATCCCACAGGGCACACCCCAGCATTTATGGACCAGGACATGGATGCTGGGACTACCAGAGCTTGCTGGGGTCCTAGAGCTGGCCATGGTGCTGAAGGAGCTCCTCAGTTCCTCACAAGCTGGGCCTAGCTGCCCCAGGGCAGGCCCTTGTCTTATTGCTCCCTAACCTCTAATACTTTAACACTTGTTTCTGCTTGGCTGATTATTTATAGGCAGGGTCATCAATGGACTACCACCAGACCTGCAGGCAGGTAGGAAAGGAGGCAACACCCCAGGACAAACTTTCTGTTTCTGTGTCATTAGGTAGCTAGTTCCAGGAACCAGAGCAGTCCTCAGTCCTCAAATCTCCCTGACCAGAAAGTCCAAATTCCTGCCTTAGGTAAACAAAGATAACTGCCTGGAGCAAGGGAAGCCACCCTTTCTGAATGTTCTAAGGTCACCTGCCCAACTGCCCTGAAATGTTTTTGGATGGGGGTGAGGGGAAGAAGAGGGGGTTGGGAACTCACCCATGAGAACCTGAGGGCAGCACCTGGGGTCGCTAGGGCACCTGCTGTAAGCAGAGGGGTGCGGTGGGAAAGGGGGAGGAGTGCCTCAAGTCCAGCACCATCCCTCACATTTTTTTTACAGAAGAAAACAGAACCAGATAAGAAAATCTTCCCTAAGTCTCTAAACTCTTTGAAAACATAATGGAAGTTCTGCAGCTGTAATCAAGAAAGATATATCCACATAGATACAACCTCTGAATACAATGTATGTACCCCTTACATAGAGTCCTTAGGAGCCCAGGTTCCGAACCCTCAGATGGATGGGAAGCCACAGAGAGCCTAGCATGGCTCTCCAGTCTAGCACACCATCCTGCCCAGCTTACGCTCTACTCAAGGTCCATCCTGTCCCTCACCACTCCAAGAGCCCCTACACTGGAAGGCTCTTGTTGGGAAGGAAATGGGGTTTGCCTGGACAGTGCTGGTATAATTCGATTACACCCCTTTTCCTGTGAAGAGTGCCTGGGTTCCGATGCTATCCACTATGGTCACCCCAGAGGGAGGCAACCATTCTGTTACCCCAGCTGGTGGGGTGGGGGAGGGCTCGTTCCCACAGCTTCTGTAAAAAATCACCCTATCAGAGAGGCCACAAATCTACCAACTCAACCTAGCCACCAGTAGGTGGTGAGAGGTATGTCCCCAGAGGATTCAAATCTTCCCACTTCTGAATTTACTGTTGTATGACCGTCTCTCACTGCTAGCACCTTTGAGTCTCCCCAAGACTTTACTTTTGGGTATGTCTGTACATCATCCCTTTCTTTACTTTGGTTTCCCGGCATTCTCCTTACTGTTTTTGCTACTCCTTCTCTTGAATGACTCAGAAGATGTTTACTTGAAAGCTAGTTATAGAAGCCACTTTAAGCATTTTCCCCAAAAGTGTGTCCTATGAATAGAATAAACAAACTTCAATTATAAAATGATACATGAATGCATCCAAATTGCAGTGGTTAAACTGTAATTTCCATTGAGAAAGACGCGGTCACCCAGATGTGCAGACTCTTCCAAATATCATCAGATCTCATTGGGAGTGGAAGACCAGACTCTGAATGGCACATTTAGCCTGATGACCTTAACAGAAAATTGTTCTCTTTCTATTCCAAATCATTCAGGCTGGTGAAGCTGGAGAGGTTACCCATCTCCAGCCGCTCTGCTGAGAAACACCTGGACCGATTTCCATGGAGACCAGGGGATCTGAAGGTTTGGAAAAGCCCTGGAAGGAATTGGTGAGTGGTTCCCAGGAGACTGACAATGCGTGGGACAAGGGGAGACCTGAGTTACTCTCAGAAGATGAGAAAACATGCCACGTCAACCGAGGGACTCGAGACAGAGAACCTGGCCACTACACCCCAATTCAGAGAAACTCCATCTTCAACCGCACTGTGAAACGCAAAAGCAAAGGCCAAGCCAGAGATGCTCCAGAACAAAATACCCCCCAGCAGGCAGGTGAGTACCAGGGACAGCTGGCACCGCTGTCCCCTGCTAGCCAGGTGGAGTCATCAGGACTGAAAGGCCCCAACTAAATAAAAGAAGAGTAAAAGGCCTTGAAGACTATCAAGGACAGGTCTAGTAAAAGAAACACTTTGAAGCTGTTATCTAAAGGATTCAATTCCCGCAATATGACAATGTGGGCACTTCAGGAGAAAGTGTCGACCCAAACTGTACAGTAAGACTGGCTTCTATTTAAAAGAAACATCTTGTTCCAGGACTCAACAAAACACCCCCAGACGTCCATGCCTTCTAGCAGGGAGGCTTGGAGCTGTCCACATTTGGGAATATCTGGGAACAGGAGTTTCCTGAATGCCAAGGTCCTATCTTTGTTCTCTCTCATGGTTGCTGGGATGGGGAGAGTTTCTGCTGCACTGGAAGTATCTGAGATAAATACCTTGGCAATAAGAGCTTTGCAGCTGGGTCCCTTAATCTTTTCAGTGAGTCCCTAGCACATCTTACCTGCTTAAAGTATATTCCTTGAGCAGAATATGGTTCAGAAACTTTTACAATTGGTGGGGGGCTGTCAGAGCTGCAAATTCCTTTCTCTGTGACTTGCCCACATGCCTGAGTGGGCAGTACGCTGGGGGTGTGGACTAGGTGCTAGTTTCTTAGCCCCTGGGGTATGGCACCTGCCACGAGACAGTCTGTAATCCTCCATTTGCTGGATGTGGCATGAACCCATGAACTCATTCAAGACATTCACTGAACTCTGTATCGGGGAGCCTTTTGCCACATAGGAAATCACCCTCAATATATAAAGATAAAACTATAATATTTATTATTTCTTGTGTTTCTGGGGGTTGATCGGGTGGTTTTTCTGTCTGAACTGCTTTGTCTCACCTCTGCAGTCCTCTGGTGGCTCATGTGGGCTTAGAAGGTCAAGGAAGTCTCGCTGCGCTCGCTGGGGGCTAGTGAGCTGGTTGATCAAGGTGGGTTAGTCTCTGCTCAACCTCCAGCAGGCTGGCTCGGACTTGTTCCCATCGCAGCAGGGCTCCCAGAGGTCAAGACCCCCCCTACTTGATGGGAGAGGTGGCAATCTGTGGGTGTTTGCTATCTACAAACACTACCAAAATTACGCATCAAGGACCAAATTAAGAGCAAGAGAAATACAATGGAAATGCTATACTTGTGGAAGCTGGGGGAATGTCTGTCATATGACCCTCTCAACTTTTGGCTATGTTTGAAAATCTTATGAAATGAAAAGTGAGAAACACAATCCTACACAAAGAAAGTTGGAGTCTCTGCCCTTGAGGGACCCAGCAGTATTGTAATGATGTCATCGATGGCCAGCAATGCCTCGAAGTTTACAGGAAAGATAAAGGCGAAGAACAAGACCCTTCAGGTGTGGTTGGGAAAGATTCCCCAAAGGAGATGAAGCTCTAGTGGCGTCTTGAGGGGGACATGGCCAGAGAAAGAACAGGAGCTAACCTGGCTGAGCGCTTGGAGGTATTCAGTGTTATGGGTGTTCTTACTATACCCATTTTACAGATTAAAAACAACAACTGAAACAAAGAGATTGAGTCACTTACCTTAAATCACACAGCTAGTGAGTGGCCTGGAGTTCAGATCCTTCTAGTCCAAAGCCCATGCAGATGGAGAAGGGAGTTAGGGAGGCTCTTTCTAACAGAAATATAATGCAAACCACATATGTTGTTTCAAATTTCCCAGCAGCCACATTAACAAAAGTAAAAAGAAATAGGTAAAATTCACTCTAATAACATGTGTTATTGAACACAAAGCCTCCAAAATATGATTGTACCATCATATAGTCAATAATTGATATAAAAAGGTCATCATGAGACATTTTGCAATTTTTTTTTGCAGGATGTCTTTGAAAGCTGTGGAATATTTTTGTTGGAAATATTTGATCTGGATTTAGGATTCATAAAATGTGCAGTCAGAAAAGCAGATTTGCATGCCCAGACTGTTCCATGTAGCCTTAAGAGTCTTCCGGTAACTAAACTGAGTATTGGTTTTTACATTTAAATTTAAATTAATGTAAGTTGAAAAGAAATGAAGAATTCACTTCCTGAGTCCTATCAGCCGCATTTCAAGGGCGGACTAAGCCGCAGGTGGCTAGCAGGGCCCTATCGAATCTCTCAGGGTTGAGCATTGCAAGCAGAAGGAAAAGGAGATACAGCTGCCCAGGGGTCAGGGGTTGGAGATCTTTTTGATCCTGAGCAAAGGCAGGTGTGGGACTAGTTGGAGATGAGCCTGGAGAGGGAAACTGAGTCAAGGGGGAAAGAGTGCGTGGCTTCCCAAGCCAAGCCAAGAATGCCGACGCCAGTGTAGACTAGAACAAGGGTCACTTCACTTCTTGCCATCCTCAAAGATGCCATTGATGTCCAGACCATAAATACTTTCATCAGACTCAGAGTTTTATTTTTAAAGTGACTCCCTGTTTCACTTCCCTGGAGGTAACTCCCTCGACAGACCCAAGCTTCCTGCTCCAGAGTCCAAGGAGAAAACTCTCCCCCAGCTCTGTCCCTGAAGGGGCAGACAAAACAGATCAGCTGGCTTCCTTGGCCCGGCTCCCAGACAAAAGGAGATTTATGCTCTGACTTCTCTCTGCTAAAGGACTGCCTTTTCAAGGTCACACTACAACATGGATTAACGTCCCAGGGGAGGGAGTTTGGCTTATTATTTAACAGCGTTTAGGACTCGGACATTGTCAAGTTAGATGTTAAAATTTTGATAAATTGCGAATGATTTTAGTCCAGTAGGAACAATAACACTGGTAGTTCTGCTTTTATTGGCCTCTAAGACATTGGCCAGTTTTTTTTTTTTTTATCTAAGTTGCAATCTCATTTCTAATATTCTTTTCCCACTGTGTGTGTGTGTGTGTGTGTGTGTGTGTGTAAGCAAGTGAAGTTTCTTACATGGTAATCATAATTTTTGTAGAGATGGCATCCCAGGTCACCAAATTCGTGCAAGCCGTGGCAAATTCCCCTCAAGGGGGCATGACAGGAAAAGCACCCCTCTTCATTCCTCTCCCTTCCCCCCTGGGGGAACTTGCTGCTGTCCCTGTCACCAAGAGAACTGCCCGCCCGAAAGGGGGGAGATGCACATTTTCTAACTCTCTGCCTTTCTTAAATGTCACAGGCTCACTGGAAAATGGACAGTCTGTAAATGAGCCCCTGACCTTGAATTCCCCCCAGAACAGAAGGTCTCGGTGGAAAATCCCAATACAGCCACACCCAGGAGCCAAGAGAACAAGGTAAGAGAAAACAAACGGGCAGGAGGGGCGGTTCACCACCAGAAGTGGCAGGGATCCCTGCGGCAAAGTTTTGACAGGGCTGCAAGCGTGTCTCATGGTTCTTTAAAAAAAAGTCACTTTTTGTTGCCCATGTTAAAAAAAAAAAAAAAAAAGCAAAACTCCACCATCTCCTTTCTAAAAAAAAATAATAATAACAACCCATTGCTACTCTTTCATCCAAAACTAGGAAATTGTAGATATTACAGATTTCAAGAAGTAGAAAAGGAAAATCTCTATATTGCACCACCACCAGAAAGGTTTTAATGTAACCGTTGCAAAGTTTTTTTTTCCTGTATGGTTTATGCCCATTTTCTCTTCATAAAATGGGATCGTACTATATATCCTGTCTTCAGACTTAATAGTATGTCACACAAACACTTCCGTATGTTACCAAATATTTTTCTACACAATCGTTCAATGGCTATAAAATAAACTATGTAGTATGATTGAATTATAATTCATTAATCATGCTACTGTTGTTGGACATTTGGGTATTATATCAGCTAGGACTAAATTTAGCTGCTTGTAACAAAAAAACCCAAATGACACAGCATAACAAGACCGAGATCTATTTGGGTCTTGAGTGAAAAAAGCTTGGGGGGTTGCGACAGCAGCTCCTTCGTACCTCCAGGAACCCAGTCTCCTCCTATCCAGCTGTCAAGGTGATTGCCAGAGCTCCGGCCATCACAGCCACGGTTCAGGTAGTGGGAAGGAGGAAAGCAGAGGGTAGTGGGGGCACATACCAGTCTATTCTGCTCTCCTTTTAAGGAGCTTCCTGAAGCCCACTCAATAACTGGGGCTTATATCTCATTGGCCCAAATTAACTGAGTCACGTGGCCACCTATACTTGCAAGAGAAGCTAGGAAATGTAGGTCTCTTTCAAACCAGGTCTGTTTCCACCCCCTGGTGAATGGGTGCCATACTAAGAAATAAAGGAGAATGGATACGGGGAGGCAACAGCAATCTCTGACCCAAGGGAGTTTCAATTTTTGCTGGTTTGTAAGCCACACTATGAGGAAGTCTCGCTGTGGCAAAATCCGGACACCCGTCTCTCCCTATTTCCTTAAGTTCCTAGAAACTTCATACTTTCTACAAATCCCTGGATGGTTGCAGGGAAATAGCATTCCTGTATTTGTACGGGGAAAGTACGGGCTAGGCATCTCGACCCAGACCCAGGTGACAGGTAGCCTGTTACTTCCTGACACTACTTTGACCATTGGTCATTGATTTTATATATTTATATATATAATTTTTATACATATGATATACTTACATATAGAATTTAATAGTTTAAATATGTAATATAATTTCATAATAATAAAATGAATTTATATATACAAACAAACAAGGCCCTTGTTCACTTACGTGGAATTATATATTAAAGTCAGCTGCTTCCTGTCGCCTCTGTTCTGGCTTAAGAGCCAAAAATCACCACTGTAAAAATCTGCCCACCTATACTGGGAGCTCCAAGAGACAGTGGGTGAGAGGTCAGCCTTAGCTCACCCCTCACATCCAGGGATCAGCAGGAGTGACAGGACAAATATTTGACAAGCAGGACCCAACATTCTACTAAGGGTCCCAGAGAGGTAGAGGAAGGGCCCTGGGAGCAGGGAAAGGGAAAGGACTCAGGACAGTGGTCATTTCCCAACCAGTACACAAATGTTTTCATATAAAAAAGAGGGTAAGTGGATGGAGACTGGCCAACTGTGACCTGCCCACTCCTTCCCAGGGGGGTTCCCCAGAAAGACAAAACCAGCAGGACATGGAACAGGTGTGGGGAGCTCATTGTAAAGAACCGGTTCACAACTGTGGCAGCTTGGCGAGTGTAGAATCCTCTGGATGGGCTTGTGGCTGGACACTCAGGGAATTGCTGCATAATTCTGTTCTGCTCAGTGAGCTTACACTTTGCTCTAGCAAGACCTTCAACAGTTTGGATGAGGCCCACCCACAGGATAAAGTGTATTCAAAGTCCTTCAATTAAACAGTCTCAAAAAACATCTTCACAGAAACAGCCAGAATAATTTGACCACATGTCAAGGCATCATGGCCCAACCAAGTTGACATCTGAAATTAACGTCATATCCCCCCTCTCCGGGGGGTCAAGAGATCCACTTGGAAATCTCTGAAATCTGGGGGACACACAGACCAGAACCTGGCTTGCTCCTGGAAACATCTAGATATGAGCTGGCTGACCGCTTCATGGGAGGGGAGGGGTAAGGGTGGAGCCGGGGGTGCGGGGCAACCACACCAAAGGCAAGGCAGAGGCACATGTTCTCTTGGAGCCCAGTGTGGACCTCAAGGAAGGGAACGGGCTATGAACCACCCAAGATGGCTTCCTGCTAGGGGCAGGGGGACCTTGGCAGAAAGTGGCTGAGAAACTTGGGGAGTCATAAAGTGGCTTGAGAGCTTTGTACATTCCACAGAACTCTGGTCAGAGAACCCCACAGGTGCCCCACTCTGGGACCCAAACAGCTCAGAGGGCAGGAGATATGGAGCAGGGGGTAGGTAGAGGCTTCCCAGCTGTGGCAGGCCTGTGCTGGGAGAAGAGGGGTGCTGGTACTCTGCAGCAAGTTCAGGGTGCTTTTCTAAATACTTAGCAAAAGAGACTGTCTGCTTGTAACTAAGAGTCACCAGAAGAGTGCTGTGTGTGGTCTGCCTGAGATCCTGATATCAAAGCACAGCCCAGGCAGCTGGCGTCAGCTACAGGCAGGTGCAGGTGGGGAGAGGAGAGGACGGCTGGAGTCCCTTCCTGTCTGCACCCTCCCCAGGCCAGCCAGCCCTGCGCTTAACTTTGGTCTTATGGCCTAGCAAGGACAGAGGTTCTAGAAAACTTCTTTAGGTCAATCTCAGGATCCCCATTGTGATCATTGTTTCTATTACGTCTTCTGAACTGGACTTCCATGGCGGGGTAAGTCGCAACACACCTGTTATAGACAAGTTTTCTAGAGAAAAAAACCTCCTCCCAATGGCGAATCAGGCTCCCAGGGCTTCGAGCTATTGCTTTTAAAGGTAAAAACCAAAATATTAATTTATCTGGGGAACGCAGGAGCCACGGTACATCAGGGTGTTTGATGTGACCCATCTGGGGTAGCATTAGTGTGTCCCATTCATGCAAAGCATCCATTCTCTCTCTTGCCCTGCTCACGCTTCATATCATTAGCACCTTGGCATTCGGAGTCTCAGACCTCTATTTGTGTAGAGAAATGTAATCCCTGTTCTGGCCCCCATCCTGTGTCCCCACCTTTGGGGGCTGAGTCCTAGCGTCTCTTGCTAAGTTTCCATCGTCACTTTCCCAGGGCCCATAGCCCTCCACTCCTGTTGGAAATTCCTCTTTTGCTCTAAGTAGGGAAAATAATTCTGTCTGCTAGATTTGTGTGTGGAAAAGCAGGCTCCATGAGCCAAATGGAACAGAACAGAAAAGAGACAGAAAAAGAAAGTACATGGTACAAAGACTGGGAGCAGCTGAGAACGACGTAGAGTGTCCCTCTCGCGCAGGCCCCAAAGAACCTCTCCCTCTTTTTTGTCATTGTCCCTCTAGTCAGTTTTCATCAAGGTCATTTGAAAAGGACTCACTGAAGGAAATTTTACATGACAACAAAACGTACACATTTTGGGCAGGACAAATGTATTAGTCAGCTCAGCAGCCATAACAAATACCACAGTCTGGGTGCTCAAGCAGCAGACCTTTATTTTCTCCTCATTCTGGAAACTGGACATTGGTGATCAGGACGTCAGCACGGTCAGGCGCTGGGAGGGCTCCCTGCCTGGGCTCCCTGCCTGGCTTGCAGACAGCCTCCTTCTCAGTTATCCTCAGATAGAGAGAGAAAGCAAGCACCCATCTCTTCCTCCTCCCAGGGGCCAGACCCTCACAACCTCATCTAACTAAACCCATTCTCTTCTGAAGGTCCTACCTGCAAATACCATCATGTGGGGGTTGGGGCTCCGATATGTTAATGGGGGGGGGGCATAATTCTGTCCACAGCAATAAATCTGTATCTCTATATACACCCACCTGAGCATTGTTACATAACAAACATTTTAACTGAATAATTTTAAAGATCTAACTGGTTTTATTCATCCATTCCTGAATTGGGTAGCACCCAGTCCAGCAGGTAGAGGGGAGCTCCAAAGGGAGACCCAAAGGGAAGAGGTTTTCCAAGGCAGCATAGTATCATAAACAGGAAAAAAAAATGTTGACTTCAGAGGAGGTCACCTTATTTGGGGACACAAGGATTTTAGTTGGTGGAGGACCTCATCTTCCATTAGGGGACCAAGAGGGTCCCTGTGACAGATCACCTCATCCATGCTGATCCAAACATTCCTGACTGACTGGGTATAGTTTATTTTCCTGGGCTGTTGAAATGGTACTTAGGTGAGGTGTTGAGAACTGGTTTACTGACTTGGTGCTTTACCCTAAGTGATGCCATCTTGGGCCTGTGGTTTTCTTTTTAACACTATTAACCAGACCAAGAAACAAAACATTTCCATTGCCCCAAGAGGCTCCCTGAGACCCCTTTTTTTTCGGTCAGTATAAACCCTCTCAGACGTCATTATCCTCTGCTTCTGTCACCATTAGCTTAGTGTTGCTGGTTCTTGAACTATGTGTAAAGTGGGATCAAGCCCACAGTGTGCACTCTGGTATCTGACTTAGTTTTCTGAACATAATATTTCTGATATATGTATATCAGATTGCTCTTTTTATTGCTGGGAAAAGTACCACAATTTGTTTATCTTTCTGTTGGATATTTGGACTATTTCCAGTTTTCAACCATCATAAATAAAGTCACTACAAGCGTTCTTAGACAGTCTTTCTGTGGGTGTGTCCCATTCTTTCTCCAAGTGTGTACCCAGGAGTGGAAGGGCTGAGTCTTATGATAGGTATATGCCTGACAGTATCTAGGAAGGGCCAAATAATTTCTCACAACAGTTGTATTATTCCACACCCCTACCAGCAAGATATC